TACAGTCAAGTGAAGATGATGCCATATATGTCGCTTCTCAACAGATTGAGAGTGAGTTGTTTAAAATACAGAAAAGTGAATTTCTTGTTTTGTCTTCGAGCGATGATGACATGATATATGCATTTTCACAAGAGTGAGTGAGTTTAGTTTTACGCCGCATTCAGCAATATTCCAGCTATATGGCGGCCATTTTCACAAGAGATGGAAAGACAATATGCAAGGAAATCAACTAATACACGCTTCAGTGAACTCTTATCTGATCGTGAAGTTGCGGAAATGAGCAAGAAGATAGTGCCACAGAAAACACATAAGTCTATAGAATGGGCATGTCTTCTGTTTCAATCTTGGCAAATTTCGAGGAATGGAAGGATACTAAATGGTGATACATCCGGGCATCGACTTAGTTTGATTCCGCATGATCTAAAGGATCTTAATGATGACGAACTTAATTAATGTCTGTGTAGATTTATTATGGAAGTGAGAAAGGAGAACGGCGAAAACTATCCCCCAAAAACTTTACGACAGTTAGTTTTGCTTATCCAAATGAAGTTGGTGAATTTGGGTAGAAATGTGCAGTTCTTATCAGACCAGGTTTACACAGAACTGAAAACCACACTGGACAATGCCATGAAAGTGAGGGCAAGCGAAGACCTTGGAATGCATCCAAGACAGGCAGATGTCATTACTGTAAATCAGGAGCAAGTACTGTGGGATAAAGGTATTCTTGGCGATTCATCTCCTCAGACGCCGCTTGATACCGTGCTATACTTAATTGGCCTCAACTTTGCTTTACGTAGTGGCGTTGAACACAGAATTTTGACAGTTGATCAAATTGAAATTGGAGAAAATGACCAGGGTGAGTTCATACGCTACCATGAAAAGGTCAGTAAATGTAATCAACGTGGTTTGAAGACTACCATGTTGAACCCAAAAGTGTTACTGTGTATGCTAGTGATGTATCTGATAAATGCATCGTCCACCTGTATCGGAAGTACCTCGGTCTTCGTCCTGCTGATGCTCCTACAGCTTTATACTTCCGTCCACTCAGTAAACCCAGGCCTGATCGATGGTATTCAATGTCGCCAGTAGGAGAACACACACTGAGTAAAACTGTGTCCAGATTGTGCGCTGCTGCCGGATTCAGTGGTAAGATTTTCAAATTCATTTATCTAAAAAAGTGCATTACTCAAAATATATTACAAACTTTACAGTGTCAAAAACACAATGAAAACATTTATACATTTCTTCCTTGAACCAGGTGTTGTTTCGTTACCAGTAATTTAGTTAGATGTAAATGACAAAGCGTGTTTTACATAAATATAGCATCAATTCATCTCTTGACTTGTTTTGATTGGGTTAACATTTGTCTTTTCAGGTTTCTCCACAAATCATTCGTTGAGAGCAACGTGTGCGACGCGGCTGTTTCGCTCAGGTGTAGATGAGCAGTTGATTGCTAAAACAACCGGTCACAGGAGAAACGCCATTCGCAACTACAAGCGTGTCTGTACTGAACAAGAGGCGACTATGAGCAGGATACTGCAAGGGAAACCAAGAAAGCGACGAAGTGAAACGGCATCCATGGCATCCAGTTCATGCGAGAAATCTAGAGCTTTACAAAAGACCTGTACCGATGGTATCAACATCTCTGTCAACGTTACGGTCGCAAAATGAAACTTTGTGTATGATCTGTGAATAAATACATTTTGCAGTATGCATTGCTGTTAGTTTTTTTACAGTAAATTAAACCATGATTGTTTTGTTTCAGTTCGTAGTCTAACCAACCCATATACTAGACTACGACCGGGACTACTTTTTAAATGTTTGCTTTCATGTTGGAATCTGACCAGCTTTACTTCACATCAGCGTTTGCCAATTACAATCATCCAACCAAAACTAGGCGCAGATTGTTGAAAAGGTCGTATGGAACAATTATGCATTGTTGTTATTTTTTCTATTGTTCCATAAAACCTTTTCAACAATATTTGGTGCAGTTCTATTCAATACATAATGTTTCAAAATGAACACTTACATCACAATGCACACTTAAATACTGATACAGTTATCACAATGAACACATACTGGCGCAGTTGTCACAATGAAGACACATACTGGCACAGTTCTCACAATGAACACACTAAACTAAGTGGCACAGTTCTCACAATGAACACATACTGGCGCAGTTCTCACAATGAACACATACTGGCGCAGCTCTCACAATGAAAACACATACTGGCATAGTTCTCATAATGAACACACATACTGGTACAGTTCTCACAATGAACACACATACTGGCACAGTTCTCACAATGAACACACTAAACTTAGTGGCACAGTTCTCACAATGAACACACTAAACTTACTTGCACAGTTCTCACAATGAACACACATACTGGCGCAGTTCTCACAATGAACACACTAAACTTAGTGGCACAGTTCTAACAATGAACACACTTAGTGGCACAGTTCTCACAATGAACACACTAAACTTAGTGGCACAGTTCTCACAATGAACACACTTAGTGGCACAGTTCTCACAATGAAAACACATACTGGCATAGTTCTCATAATGAACACACATACTGGCACAGTTCTCACAATGAACACACATACTGGCCCAGTTCTCACAATGATCACACTTAGTGGTACAGTTCTCACAATGAAAAAACATACTGGCACAGTTCTCACAATGAATACACATACTGGCACAGTTCTCACAATGAACACACATACTGGCACAGTTCTCACAATGAACACGCTGACTGGCGCAGTTCTCACCATTAACACACATTCTGGCACAGTTCTAACAATGAACACACATACTGGCACAGTTCTCACAATGAAGACACATACTCACACAGTTCTCACAATGAACATACACATACTGACACAGTTCTCACAATGAACACACTTAGTGTTGCATAGTTCTCACAATGAACATACACATACTGGCACAGTTCTCACAATGAACATACACATACTGTCACAGTTCTCACAATGAACACACTGACTGGCGCAGTTCTCACCATTAACACACATACTGGCACAGTTCTCACAATGAACACACTGACTGGCGCAGTTCTCACCATTAACACACATACTGGCACAGTTCTCACAATGAACACACTGACTGGCGCAGTTCTCACAATGAACACACATACTGTCACAGTTCTCACAATGAACACACTGACTGGCGCAGTTCTCACCATTAACACACATACTGTCACAGTTCTCACAATGAACACACTGACTGGCGCAGTTCTCACCATTAACACACATACTGGCACAGTTCTCACAATGAACACACTGACTGGCACAGTTCTCACAATTAACACACATACTGGCACAGTTCTCACAATGAACACACTGACTGGCGCAGTTCTCACCATTAACACACATACTGTCACAGTTCTCACAATGAACACACTGACTGGCGCAGTTCTCACCATTAACACACATACTGGCACAGTTCTCACAATGAACACACTGACTGGCGCAGTTCTCACCATTAACACATACTGTCACAGTTCTCACAATGAACACACTGACTGGCGCAGTTCTCACCATTAACACACATACTGGCACAGTTCTCACCATTAACACACATACTGTCACAGTTCTCATTAATGAACACACTGACTGGCGCAGTTCTCACAATGAACACACACTGACACAGTTCTCACATGAACACACATACTGGCGCAGTTCTCACAATGAACACACTGACTGGCGCAGTTCTCACCATTAACACACATACTGGCACAGTTCTCACCATTAACACACATACTGTCACAGTTCTCACATGAACACACTGACTGGCGCAGTTCTCACAATGAACACACTGACACAGTTCTCACAATGAACACACATACTGGCGCAGTTCTCACCATTAACACACATACTGTCACAGTTCTCACACTGAACACACATACTGGCGCAGTTCTCAACATTAACACACATACTGTCACAGTTCTCACAATGAACACACTGACTGGCGCAGTTCTCACAATGAACACACTGACACAGTTCTCACATGAACACACATACTGGCGCAGTTCTCACAATGAACACACTGACTGGCGCAGTTCTCACCATTAACACACATACTGGCACAGTTCTCACCATTAACACACATACTGTCACAGTTCTCACATGAACACACTGACTGGCGCAGTTCTCACAATGAACACACTGACACAGTTCTCACATGAACACACATACTGGCGCAGTTCTCACCATTAACACACATACTGTCACAGTTCTCACAATGAACACACATACTGGCACAGTTCTCACAATGAACACATACTGGCACAGTTCTCACAATGAACACACATACTGGCACAGTTCTCACCATGAACACACATACTGGCACAGTTCTCACAATGAACACACATACTGGCACAGTTCTCAACAAACACACACACTGGCACAGTTCTCACAATGAACACACTGACTGGCGCAGTTCTCACCATTAACACACATACTGGCACAGTTCTCACAATGAACACACATACTGGCGCAGTTCTCACCATTAACACACATACTGGCACAGTTCTCACAATGAACACACTGACTGGCGCAGTTCTCACCATTAACACACATACTGGCACAGTTCTCACAATGAACACACTGACACAGTTCTCACAATGAACACACATACTGGCACAGATCTCACAATGAACACACTGACTGGCGCAGTTCTCACCATTAACACACATACTGGCACAGTTCTCACAATGAACACACTGACTGGCGCAGTTCTCACAATGAAGACACATATTAACACAGTTCTCACAATGAAGACACATACTAACACAGTTCTCACAATGAACACTGACATACTAAGGGGTTCTCATCACGAACACTCACGTATTGGTGCAGTTCCCACTGTGTACACTAACATACTTGGTTCAGCTCTCACAATGTACACTTACATACTTCACCAGCTCTCGCAATGAACACATCATGCTGGTTATGAATGTCCCACAATATAAACTCACCTACTGGCGCGGCTGTCCTCACCACCTTCACGTCCACGACTCCGCCGTCACGACACCCACAATACGCCTCGTCAGGTCATCTTCACGGCGCATGAACTAAGGTCGATTGTCCAGCCCAGCGTAGCAAACACGTACGCCAGCGAACAGGCCGAATACAATCTTTCTGGGTCAGCATTCGCAGTCTTGCGTCCGCTATTAATAGACCGGAGTATACCTTGCGTTCTTCTCGCTTCGTTTAGCGTGCAGACACACATATAATCCCCAGCCTTGCTGTCTGTGTGGTGGTTTATGAATAATTATGTACTTATCCCAATAGCTGTACGTGACTGATGTGAGCTGTATGCAGTTTACAGTCAGCTTCGGTCACGAAGTGATTTAATGGGATCAGTGGTATATCAACGGGTATGTTGACAGGTGCGTTGACCAATTAGCATGGACTAATGCTGCTGTCAGTGGATAAAAATATACGACGTGGGTACAGTTGACAGCTTGAGGTTAAAGCGCCAGAAAAGTCTTTCATTTTGAGTTGTCTTCTCCGACAGAGACGCTATGCCTAGCGCTGACTGGCTGAGTTTAGTTTTACGCCGCTTTTAGCAATATTCCAGCAATATCACGGCGGGGGGACACCAGAAATGGGCTTAACACATTGTGCCCATGTGGGGAATCGAACCCGGGTCTTCGGCGTGACGAGCCAACGCTTTAACCACTGGGCTACCCCACTGCCCCACTTTGCCTAGCGAGTGGTGGTGGGCGATATCATTATATAATTATCGTCGGTTGCACTAAAGTTCTAAACGTCTGCAATTCTCCATGATTTCTGCCATATTAACAGACATGATATGTAACCTATGTTATCTGTGGCATAACACTTTAACATTAAAGTACAGATTTTAGTTTTTGTTAGGTTGAGTCCCATCTGGGATTCAAGTCAGGTACCTACCTAATCGCCAGCACACAATGTCACATGATACATTTGACCACTTTCTAAATGGTGTTGTGTCTTCAGAGTCGAGATATGCTCAGAATATTGTTCTAGGCGGCTTGAAGCACAACATTCACTTAAATGAAGGCTAAATCGCCCAGAATCATCATATGTGTTGAATTAATGAACTGGGTCTTTACTGAGAAACGTGTTATCTCAAATATATAACATATGTTACACTTTACATAACATGTGTTAAACTTACTAAATGCCATTGTGTATTCATAGCTGTCGGGCGTGGGAGCCTTGACAATTTACACTTGCCAGGGGGTTCACAAAATACGTGATCTTAACTGCTTGTATCATGGTCTGACTCTCAGAGTTAGGGTTGGAATTCCGGTTAGGACTCAACCTAATAAGGAGAACTAAAATTGCTATAATTTGTACGTAACGAACAAAGTGTGATGCCAATTGAAACGTTATATACATACAGCTTAATATGCAATTGTACAGTATTCAATCACAAATTGAACACTGTTACTACCACTTACAATAAACGCCTAAATTGTATCTAAGCATCACCGCGTGTCCATGGTACCTTCTGACATTGATAAACGCTGGGTGTTACGATGTAGGTGTACTTTGGGTTGCCAATGGACTCTACAACAAACACCTACCGCAATTCCTTTAATAAACGTCTGACTGGAATTAACGGTGGGTCAACAGCCTCGTGGCTTGAATAAAGCCCACACTGATGTTTAGAAGAATTATTGATTCATAGCAATGAACAGCTTTCTGGTCGATACTGTATCCGTCTGGGAAGAAAACAAAAGGCTTATATTATTAACAATCCTAATTTCGTGAAACTAATGTACGCTTGGTCTCGAGACCTTCAGATATACATAACCGCCGATCATTTATTCAGTAAATTACGGTATGGTACTGCCGTTACGTGTCACTACGGCCAGTTTAAGGCATGACTCCGCAACTTGCATTACTTCGAGACAGTCATCCGCCGAGGCAAGGAGCAGACCCACGCTCCTGACAACAGTGTTGTTGGTGCACACCTTATTGCCAATAACATGAAGAAGCGAACCCGGGAAGAAGTAACTACCATCCCATTGATCTACGAGGAGGGGGGGGAAGAAGCTCCTGACTGGTTACAAGTCTGCTGCTCCAGAAGAGATGGAGTTGATTGAATCAATTGAGACTCATTCACGAGGTGTCAAAGGGCTAATTATGAGGTGTAAGTCATAAACTGCCAAAACCGGGACAGCTGTTGTAGCTCGTTAACCAGGTGTGAAAATTGACTGCCAAAAGTGGGACTGCCAAATTAGGGAATAAATCCGATTTTCGCTAATTACGATTGGACCGAAGACATTTATATAATTAACCTTATTATACTAGATTGTCACTTTTCACGTAGGGGTGCCTATAACATAGCATATCTTTTCACTCTCAGCTGCGACACACACATTAGAATGAAATGGTCTTTGTCACTAACGGAAAGACAGCTACAAGAACATGTCTTTTAAGATGTGCTGTGTGCCATGAAAGGACATCCACTGACGTGTTGGGCAGTCTATGTACATTCATTGCATAATCGACATTTCATGTTATGATATTAGAATCACATTTTGGCGATTGCGAAGGGAAAGTGACTGGTCTAAGACCAGCCGACTTCATCCAGGCGTAGGAGTCGGTTGGTTTGCTATTCTGTTCCACACACTGCATGAACACATGATGCCTTGGATTCTCAGAAAGCTTCTCTACAAATGACCGACTCTGGGCAGACTTGGTGAAGGACCTCACCTGGTTTACTCCCATCGCTGTACCGTCCAGCAGTACATCGACATCAACAAAATCAACTTCGACTTTGAGACTCTGTCCAACAACCTTGGCGCGCTTACAATAGCTGTGGAATTCTTTGTTTTCATCTGGGTCTTGACAGAGGATCACTGTACGTGACAGAGGATCATTCGATAAATAATTATGTGCAAAAGTACACAATACAGTTCTCTCATGAAGAGCCTCCACATTAACCAAACCCCGTCCTCTCGAATCGATTGGCATATATAAACGATTAAGAGAGGAATGAGGGTGGTGGGCTCTGTTATCAGACATGGTCCTTCTGGTCAGGCGGTCAAGACTGGATGTCTTGTTTCGTCCAATCACTACTCCAAAGGAATAGGAAAGGACTGGCACAGCAAAAGTATTAGTGGCTTTGACATTGTTTCGAGCATTTAGCTCTTTGCTTAGTATTGATTAATTAGCATGAGCTTAGCATCAATTTTAATATTAATCTTAGTATTAATATTACTAGTCAGTATTAATATTACTAGTCAGTATTAGTATTACTAGTCAGTATTAGTATTACTAGTCAGTATAAGTATTACTAGTCGGTATTAGTATTACTAGTCAGTATTAGTATTACTAGTCAGTATTAGTATTACTAGTCAGTATTAATACTAATTAATACTATTAATACTAATACTGACTAGTAATACTAATACTGACTAGTGACCAAACTCCAAGACCAAATATATTACATTGTAGAGGCAGTCACTAAATCACATTTCCTCGATCATGAAAGATACCGACCAAAACACTGAAGTACAATTATTCTGAGGGACGACAGGAAGTGATTATTAGTATTACTAGTCAGTATTAGTATTACTAGTCAGTATTAGTATTACACTGACATGTTGACAGCGGGTGAAACATTTTCACATTTTAAGGTATGTTTTAACTAAATGCGTAAATGTACATGTAAGTGCATCTTATATAAAAGGCACTATGCAAAATATATTTCAGTTGTAAGAGAGATGCTGTGAGAATGTGAATGACGGACACTTATTTGAATATGTTTTATAAAACAATACAGTAAATGCATTGTGAGTGTGTATACATTTGTTATATTTATAGTAATGATTGTATTTTATTAACTGCTGTGTGTTTAGATGTGCGAACATGTAATCAATGCAATAACGGTGTAATGTGGTTCTCTTGTGCAAAGGTCATGTGTAGAGAAGGTACTATTATTATATTTGTACATGTGTAGGCGTTATGGAAATGATCTCGGCACTTTACTACTACTGACTGAGTTTGGTTTTACACCGCTTTTAGCAATATTCCAGCAACATCACGGCGGGGAACACCAGAAATGGGGCTTCACACATTGTACCTATGTGGGCATTCGAACCGGGTCTTCGGTGTGACGAGCCAACGCTTTAACCACCAGGCTACTCACCCTCTTTTACTAGTAGTCCTGGCAGACATTTTTACACTTTTAGGGTATGTTTTTTTTTATCTCCATATGCATAGATGTGTTACTATGGCTACCTATTCGTTACACGTGATATGCCATGTGTAAATTGTTACATATAGACATGAGCAATAAAGATATAAAATGACATGTGTGAACTGCATCCCGATTGACTGAGATTGTGTATTTCAGGGTACCTTTCAATGATGAAAGAATTTCAGTCTAGTCTTTCCATCCGTATATAAGAGTAGTTATTGAGCCATCAAAACAATAACATGTAATTGGCATGTGTAAGTATGTATTATGTCAGATACACACCAATATGAAAGTCAAAGGAAACAATACAAATTCTTTAAATCCCTAATAGCAAAAGGCAGCAGCTGACAACCTGGTTTTGTTTGTGTGCAACGAGATATAGTACTGACAAACACAACAATATGAACAGATTCAGTATCAAACTTGCTACCATGGAAACGGACATGAATATATTAAAACACCCCAAGTAGCACAAGCACCATTTGACAGCCTGGTCATTTAGTGAGCAGAGTACCATGAAAGAATACCTATTAGTTTAAGAGATATGGTCCGGACAAACACCACTATGAACAGAGTCAAAACCAAACTTGTTGCCATGGAAACAGGTAACAAATTCATTTTCCTAAAATTTCTAATTATCAAAAGGCACCACTTCAGCCCTTGGTTAATACATGTAACGGGTCTGGATGAAAGGTGTCTCACGGTGTTTGAGTTGCGCTCCGCAAACAATCCAATTACATATTATTATTATTTTAAAACATATATTCAGTCGAACAAGTCTAGTGATCAACAGCATGAGTATGGATCTACGCAAGTGGGATACGATGACATGTGTCAACTAAGTCAGCGAGCCTGACCACCCGATCCCGTTAGTCGCCCCTTACGACAAGCATGGATTGCTGAAGGTCATGTCTAGCCCGGATTTTCACGTGTTCATTTCAACATTAATTGCAACAGCAACAATATCCATGACGCTTTATAA